TTCAGTTAAGGGAGACACAACCACTTTTTATGAAGAAAGTAAAAGAAGGTTACAGCAGGATCGCCACTGGCTTCTATTCTGAGCCATATCTGATAACGTCTCTAGCCACTGTGTAGCATCATCTCTCGGACCCCAACCAGGGAGTCGTGAAGGACCGACAGAAGCCAGTCCTTTGCAGCTTTCTTTCATGCCACGACACCATGTCATGCACTGACCACCTCTCCGCTTCTTCCAACCAGTCCCAGAGTCGGCAAATAATGCACGACGTGGAATTCTCTGGGACGACATTCGTAGAACATGTCCAAGCCACCGGAGTCGGTGTTTTAAGGTGGTGACATCGATTGCATTATCATCTCTGTTCCCGAACACACGATGCCGAACCTCTGCATTACTGACATGATGTTGCCACTGGATGTCAGCAATCCTTCGGAGGCATCGATGATCGAACACAGAGAGTCGTCTAATGTCCTCAACTCAGAGAAGCCAATTTGTAAAATAATACATTCTTATTGCTAAACTATTCAACTTAAAGCTTTATCTACGTTTTTTAACAGTAGTGCTGACCTTCCAGATTACACGTATTAAAAACGATATAAAGTTTATCATGGATTTTGCAGAAACATTATATATATAAGTACGTCTTTTTAAAGAGGTTGATTAATTTCGACACGTAATTGTTTATAGACTAATCATTTCTGGCTAGTTTTGGGTAAATAAATGAACGGAACTTTTTATTCTTCATCTAGATATTTCTTTTCATGAATTGAAATCAACCAAAAAGCCCGACTGATCAAATAGCTGTTTCTTTCTCAATATTTTTGACTAGTCCACTTCCTTAATTAGATGAAGTGTCAAGACGAGAGTATCTCTTTTTGTCGTGTTAGTACTGTGATCCTAGTTAATATTTACTCGTCTATTAGTCCACATTTTCTGAATTAAAAGGACTCGTGGTTCTACTTCACTAATCACTTTGAAATTCTGTCGAAATTTGTTACCATTATGAGTTTGTATAACTACACGTCCTCACTTTTTTATTGTGGGTTAGACAAAACTGTACTGAATTATGACTTGGTGTTCCACAATAAGCCTATAAGAAGGGCAAAGCTTATTTGCCTCTTTAGAGACTGAAACTAGGACTTTCAGGTCAATATTACCGTAACCGAGATCACTCCGTAATGATTACCATCTACAGATCAAAATAATCTTGGTAATTCGTTTTATTTAAATTATTACATTAATGGAACAACCAAAAAAACAAGTAAGTTGCTTTTTGTATCATTGAATGTGTATTCGTTTTCAAACTCCTTCATGTTCATTTACCCAGTACACATTTATTTATGTACTTGGTTGAGCGACACATTGTATATGTTAGAGTTGTTGATAATATCCAACGCTTTATCCTGTGAGTCAGCTGTATAAATAACAAAAACCATGAAATAAACATCAAGTCACTTTTCTGTCGATTTATGGATTATTGAAAAGTGCAAATCAAATAAATGATGTCATATAGTTTATTAATTTTTGTATCCAGTTGGACTTATCATATGTACCTGTATTTGTACATTTTTATGATTAATGTAAATCATGACTAGTTTTATTTTCAATTCTTTCTAGTTTACATCTTCAGAGTTACTACAATTATGACATCATTCATATATTATATATATATATATGCTCAAGGTTTAAAGAAATTTTCATCACCACTGTAAATGAACTTTGGTTCTCAACTCTATTGTAATCTACACATTGAAAAAATATCCCTTTCTTCGTTCAAAGTCCTATTTTATTCTCTTACTTCGCCTTTACCTAATCAACATTACACTACTACTATTTCTATTGCTGCTACTACTACGTAACAACATATAAAGCTTTTCATTGACATTAATCATTTTATTTGAGTATTAAAAAATTTTTTTGACGAAAATAACACATCAAATATTTTCCTGTATGTTTACTAGGTGTAGGTAAATATTGATGCGTATATTTTCGGGGTAAACGAATATCTAATTATAATAATTGTTAGACAAATAGAATTTTCCCATATCCCAAACGATATTTTTTCAGTAACGTTAGGAAAAACGGTAACAAATCTATTATCTCTATTTCTACACTTCCTTTCAAATACTTCGTGTTTTTGATCGAGAGAAACACTTGAAGTTATTAGGACTGCTTTTCTCATGTATCCTCTCTCTTTGTCACTCTAAAAATTCAGATCAACATGTATGTGAATACAAATGGATAAAAATTGTTGAACACTTTTTTTGTACAACAGCAATATTCATACCATAAAAGATTCGTTACGCAGTCAGTCAACTACAATGTAGGACCAGGCACATATGCATCGGTCTAAGTTGCCACAACTCACTAGCACGATACGATGATCACCAAATTCATAGAAGTAGTTACTCCGATTGTGGTAATATATAAAAGAAAGATTTCATATAAGGATATAACACAGGAAGAAAGAATTAGTTGGTAGAAAGAAACATATAAAGCAATTTTAATTTCACGGTTTAGGGGAAGACGAAGATTGTATACACCTACGCCAGTGTAACCGATTCTGAGCCATGTCACCCAGAGTCTCCAACCATTGGTTATGACAGTCGCGTGGACCCTAATCAAGTAGTCTGCATCTACCAAGATGGCTAAGACTAGAAGTTGGTGACTTCATGGACTGACGTCACGTTTTGGTTTGACCGTCCCTAACTTTCTTTCAACCATCCCCAACACTAGTCAGCATTACGCGTGGTGGTAATCGGTGTTCGGGCATACGTAACACGTAGCCCAACCATCTCAGTCTATGAAGATTTACAACCTCATCAACTGATTCACTATTATTCCATAATACCCGGCGTATAACCTCAGTATTACGTACTCGGTGAAATCAGCAGATACGAGCAATATTTCTAAGACATATGTAATCAAATACTAGTAGTTTACTAGTATCTTGTACTCTGTATGGTTCCGCATCCGTAAATTAGAACAGAACAAACTGCGTCCACTGAGGCGCAAACAAATGAGTGCTCGTATTTGAATATGATCACAGTCTAAACATGTATTCGAGAACGAGTGACAGTCTTCTTTTGAGCATCTCCCACAATGACTGGTGGCAATATAGTCTATTCGAGTCCATCGTTGGCTATGAATGATCCACCTAGGGGGGCTTGGGAAATCCTGATTCCAAACCAATGTTGTACATGGGCTTCAGGATCCTAAGGAAACAAATAGCGTATCAACCTATTGTTAGTCGCTGGATACCATGGGACTGTATTTCCTTACATTGCTCCTCTGCCTTGTGGATTAGACCTTTATGTTGAACGTCCGGGGTGTGGTTCTTTAGGAAAACCACCTGCTTCGGTTTGGGCACCTGTGAAGTATCCTAGCACTCACACAAATCAAATGATTTATGTGGCGCATATCTATTTGGTGTCTTCTTGTACCAATGCTTATGTGTTTTTAAATAAATAAATAAAATGAAACATCATTGGTTTGGTGCAGTCCGCCTCCATTTTAGACTTTGTCTCTCTTTATGCTTAAAATAAACAATTGTCTGAGCACAATTGCAGCAGACGATCACAATTATTTGTTAGAGGAACAGGAATACCGAAATACCCACTCAAATGTCTTTCTGATTGATTCGGGCTATCTACTTGGGCATTAAAGTCTTCTGCTA